CCCAAGGACCTGGAGCTCTGATGTCCAAGGGCAGGAGAAGATGGAAGTCCCGGCTGCTGCAGGGTGGTCCATGACCTCCATTTTCAACCTTATCATTCCACAGCACTGAGTGGAAATGGTGACATCCCCATGTCTCCTTCCTTCACAGCAGTTCTTTGTCTTTGAACTATTCGTCGATTATTCAGGTCCTCTAGTCTTCTTGGTGGTCTGCTGAGAGAAAGCCCACATGTCCACAGACCAACTTCTGACAAATTCGAATTGTCTTAGGTCTGGAAAAATAAGTTTGGAATATTCAAAAAAATACCACCATAGTTGTCTTCCCACCTTTATTCTGTCTATAGATTTTGGAATGATGGGAGATCATACAATTGAAAGTCAGCGATCTTGATCTGCTCATGATAAATGGGTCCCTCAGGAACAAGCTGATGCTCCCAGGCACCAACTCGAGTGGCATTTCTGCAAGATTAAGAAGGCATTCTCCCTTTGTGCAAAAGAGATGGCAGGCATTGGTTAACTGATGTTCCTTTTAGTAAAACTGTATCACTCCCCTAATACATGATTTCTTCGTATACAGGCCTGTATCAGTCTGTGGGGCTATGCACTGTCACACTAATCACCCTGCATTTAAGAAATGCACTCCTGTGAGCCAAGGCCCCTTAGAGAGATGCTGCCTGATTGCAGTTTTCAGGTACATTTGCATACTCTTACAAACCAGCTTCAGAGGCTGGGAAGTCCATGGTCCAGGGGGCGCATCTGGTGAGGGCCTTCTTCTGGGTGGGAACTCTCTATAGGGTCCTGTGGCAATGCAGGCAATCACATGGAGAGAATGGGGAGAGCTCACCTTTCTATTCTTTTCTTGTTTCTTTTCTTTTCTCTTTCTTTCTTTCTTTTTCTTTTTCTTTTTCTTTCTTTCTTTTTTTTTTTTTTTTTTTTCCCTCCCCTTCCCCTTCCCCTACCTTTTCTTTTCTTTTTGTATAGAAAAAATAAATCCCTGGGCTCTGATCTGTTTACAATGGAACTGACCAATCAAAGGTGTTTGGAACTGTCTTTTGGTCAGTCAGGATTTTGATCCACGGTTCTTTCTCAGGAACTGTGGGTGTGTCAGAAGTCACACTGAAGATTAGTGCCAGCCATATCCCTCAATCAAGGCACCCTGGACGGAGATACTGATCCAGGCTGCTGGGATCATCTTCCCAAGGTAATGCATAGAGTTGCACAAATAGGTCTATTTCGTAGGGGATGGTGGCCCAAGGGGGATCAGAAGCTTCCAGGCATATCTGCTCGATATCATAAGGCTGAGAATCCCATGATGAATTACACACAGAGGCATCAGCCTCTCCACGTTGCCTGATATCAGAAGGCTCACATGAATCATGGTCACAGTCATTCAAAATTTCAGGACTCATTGGACAAGTGTTTGCAGAAGTGATGGGTAAGGGGGTCTCTTCCTCCTTCACTGAAAAGGTCTGGTTTGATATTCCTGGCGAGAAACTTGGCTGAGTTTGTTGCTGCTGTTTCTTCCATCTGACGCGCTGGTTCTTGAACCAAGTCTGGGGAGAGAGAAGGTGAGCAGGTTAATCAAAGGGGATGAATCCAAAGGGGAATCCTCATGTTCCTCAGGAATTAGGATTTTTGGTGTGAGAAAATGAGTCTCACATCTCTTCATATTTCTCTGAACAAGAAAAGATTTCAATCCTCTGCTGTCCTAGGTTGCAGAGCGCAAAGTAGGTACAGAATTGTACTACCAATGGGTAGAATATGAAAGAGCACTCAAACCCTAAATGAGAAGCCGTTGAGTAAAGGCAGGTCTGTATTAGTGTTTGCTATGGTTTTCAGAGAAAGCATTCTAAAATTGGAGAGTATGGGGTGGGAGCATTGCTTGGAATGCTCTCAGGATTCATCCAAAAATTCTACCCTGAATACTCTGTGGAAACTTAGTTGCAAGGCATCTGGATGATTGTGAAAGTCCTGATTAGGCAGAACCTATATATAAACAGGAACAGACCCAAATGGGAGTATCTGAGATTCAGCCTCAAAGGGTCCTATGGAGCATTGTAGGTCTGGAGTCTGAAAGGCCCGGGTTCAAATTCCAGCTCTTGTGTTTATAATCCTTGGAAGACAATGCCTTTATGTGAGCCTTAGTCTTCCTCAATAAAGTAGCTGGTTATGAGAATAAAAATATAAAGTGCTTAACATCTGCCCTTGCACGTAGCAATTGTAAATAAATAGGAATTGTTATAATGATAAGTAAAAGCGTCTGTGAAGCTCTGGGTTAACAGTGCTAAGTAGAGACACACTCAGGGACAGACCTTTATTACTGACTGGTTGAGGTGGAGCACTGAAGCCAGGTCCTGTATGGTGATCTTATCTGGGAACATGGTCTTTTTGAACATTTCTCTCAATTTTCTGAGCTGTTCCGGTCTAAAGGCTGTGCGGGTCTGGCGATTTCTTGTCCTTGCTGCAGAGAAAATAAACAAAAGGCTTTCATAGAAAGAAAATCCAGAGGAAAACTTCTTACCTGAGCCTGACCTGGGAATCAAGAGCTTGGTCTAAAACGTTGATTGTGGAACCTGCTCCTTCATCTTGCTGGAATTGTTCTGCACTCCCACAAAATTAGTACCAATTTCCACTGAATAAGACACATTTTAAGCCACAAATGAGGAAAGCTTGTTTCTTGTGGCCTCACTCTATAAGCCCCTGGAGGAGAGATGTCAACCTCTCCATGATTTCAGGCACCGTTTTGTCTTCCTTGCAGCCTGGGGGCATCTTTCTGTTTGTCTGAAAAATGATTGCCTCCAGTGAAAAATGATTCAAGCCTAGTTTATTTTTATTTATTTATTTTTTTACAAAGATGACCGGTAAAGGGATCTTAACCCTTGACTTGGTGTTGTCAGCACCACGCTCTCCCAGTGAGCAAACCGGCCATCCCTATATATGGGATCTGAACCCGTGGCCTTGGTGTTATCAGCACCACACTCTCCCGAGTGAGCCACAGGCCAGCCCTCAAGCCTAGTTTAAAGGCAAATAACTGTCCACTTGTTTTAGAAGAATGTACTGGAAACGCATAACCTAGGAAAATGAACTAGACTAGTGGGAGAAAAGATATCTGTCCTCATTGAGATATCATAGGATAGTGGCATGATATTGACACTGAGTTTATATGAGCTCATATATCTCATAAAGTATTTGAGACCCTATTATCCTAATCAGTCATAGACTCAGAAGCACTGCTGTGTACATTGATTGGCCTGTGAGACCCTGAAGCTATTTATTTGGCCATTTATTAATGGAGTCAGTGATGGGAGCAGGCATGAAGCTTAGTGATCTGTAAATGAATGTTGATTTTCTCAATTACTACCTCTGTGACTTTGGGAGTATCACTATACCTGTATTCTTTGCCTCCATTTCTCTCTCAGTAAAATGGTCCCAAATAGTTTACTTCCTTTAGGAAAGATGTGAGTATTCAAAGAAGCAAATCTGTTAATGACAAGCTCGGTGCAGAATGGGAGTTTTTACTGCTGTTTAAAATATAAATAAGGGGCCGGCCCGTGGCTCACTCGGTAGAGTGCGGTGCTGATAACACCAAGGCCCCGGGTTCGGATCCCATATAGGGATGGCCGGTTCGCTCACTGGCTGGGCGTGGTGCTGACAACACCAAGTCAAGGGTTAAGATCCCCTTACCAGTCATCTTTAAAAAATATATATATATATATATATATAAGACTTTATTATCTAGTAAAACCTGATCTCATGGTCATCCATTTTATACAGAAGATTCTATTTATAGGAGGCCCTTATGCTTATACAAATATATGAAGGGGGAAAAAAAGCCTGCATACTGTCTAATCACCCTACAGTGAAGACAAGTGATCAAATCAACAGATTTCTCTTAGCTTTTCAGTGTCTGTATAAACACAGAGAGCACAACCTGTAAATGAATGTTGATTTTCTCAATTACTAGCTCTGTGACTTTGGGAGTATCACTATACCTGTATTCTTTGCCTCCATTTCTCTCTCAGTAAAATGGTCCCAAATAGTTTACTCCCTTTAGGAAAGATGTGAGTATTCAAAGAAGCAAATCTGTTAATGACAAGCTCGGTGCAGAATGGGAGTTTTTACTGCTGTTTAAAATATAAATAAGACTTTATTATCTAGTAAAACCTGATCTCATTGTCATCCATTTTATACAGAAGATTCTATTTATAGGAGGCCCTTATGCTTATACAAATATATGAAGGGGGAAAAAAAGCCTGCATACTGTCTAATCACCCTACAGTGAAGACAAGTGATCAAATCAACAGATTTCTCTTAGCTTTTCAGTGTCTGTATAAACACAGAGAGCACAAAAATTTATAGGGCATTAGAGAAAATCCTCAAACATGAGGGGGACAGAGACAGACAGACATACAGAGACAAAGAGACAGAGACAGACAGAAAGAAAGAGACAAAAAGAGAGAAAGAAGGAGAAGGAGGAAGAAGAGGAAGGGCAGCAGCAAATTAACAAACAGGAATGTTTTTCTTTAAGAAAAGGAATAGAAGAAAATTTCAAAACATTAAAAATCAATACTGTCAGATAAATAAGAAAAGATATTGCACTCATACATCAATAGTGTCTTGAAAATAATGGAACATCTGATAGGACAAGTGTTCTTGGAAATTCACAGCTAAAAATAAACCCTTAAACAATAATAGAAGAATTGAAAGAAAAAGCCAAGTATACATTCCAGAAAGTAGAATAAAATAGACAAAAAAGGACAAAAAGATTGAAAAGATAGGAAAATAAAGATCTGATCAAGGATGTCCAATATATGACTAAGAAATACTAGCAATATTTATGTGACTAAAAACTATCTCTCTGACTAAAAAAAAAATTTCAAAGTATTATGAAAGTATTATAAAAGAAATAATTTAAGATTTGAGAAGTGAAACACAGGAGTCTCCAGATTGAGGCTATTCAGTGACAAGCACAATAAACGAACAAAAAGGTCATTGTTGCAATATACAAGAATACCAGGAATATATAGAAAACCCTAAAGGCTTCTAAAGAAAGACAGAATTTTCTGGGCCGGCCCGTGGCTCACTCGGTAGAGTGCGGTGCTGATAACACCAAGGCCGCGGGTTCGGATCCCATATAGGGATGGTCGGTTCGCTCACGGGCTGAGCGTGGTGCTGACAACACCAAGTCAAGGGTTAAGATCCCCTTACCGGTCATCTTTTAAAAAAAAAAAGAAAAGAAAAGAAACAGAATTTTCATACAAAGAAATGATAATTAGAATTCCACTGGTCTTCAGAAAACCAAATTGCAAATAAGACAATAAATTAAGGATGATAATATTCTCAGGGAAACTGTTTTCAACCTAGAATTCTATCCACTGGTGTCTCAGTCCATTTTGTGCTGCTATAACAGAATACCTGAGACTGGGTAATTTATAATAAATAGAAATTTATTTTCTCACAGTTCTGGAGGCCGGGAAGTCCAAGTTCAAGGTGCTGGCATTTGGCCAGGGCCTTCTTGCTGCATCATCACATAGTGAAAAGCAGAAAGGCAAAAAGAACAAGGGGGGGTGAGCTTGCCCTTTTATAATGACACCAATTCTGCCCATGACAGTGAAGCCCTCGTGGACTAATCACCTCTTAAAGGTCCCACCTTTTAGTACTGCGACAATGGCAATTAAATTTCAACATGAGTTTTGGAGGAAACAAACATTCAAACCATAGAAGCAGCCAAATTTATCCTTTGATGTGAGAAAAGGACAAAGACAATTTCGGATATGCATGGACTCAGCAAATTGACCTCCTCTCTACCCTTTCTTAAGAAGCCACATGAGGGGCCGGCCCGTGGCTCACTCGGGAGAGTGTGGTGCTGATAACACCAAGGCCAC